GGTTGGGTGAAACTGATATTACTTATTGTTAACTAACCTTTCAACCATTTCATTTGGAGGTAAAAAGGTCTGAAATCTGACTTGAGGTTTGGGTTGTGTGTATGTTTTATATTTGGTTTGGTCTGAACTGGTCTAAACGTGGGCTTTATAGTGTGACAGCTCTGGTCCTAATCCTTACACTGTAATGAAAGTCTAGTAGTAGTATCCTAGTCCAACTCTTCCACAGGTTTGCAGAGGGTCTGTTTATTTTAACCAATTTGAAATACATTGACATTTCTCTTTAAAAATTGTATTAACTTTACAGGGTTAAAGGTTAAATCTCATATTAATATTGCCATTGTGTATGTTGTAAAATTGTTTTGGGCTTGTCTTGTGAAATGACGGTTCTAACTCTAACTCTTCTGACTCTTCTCATTGCAGATCTAAACTGTTTTACTTAACTTTTAAACTAGTCTTCACAGGTCCAAAGGCTGCTGTTTATGGTGAGTATGTCTGCATGCACTTACTAACACACTAACTGTATACAAGCACGGGCGGTGGGTCTAATCCAGCCACAGGGGGCGCTGTGTGTGTCCCTCTGTGCCAGTCCCCAGCCTAGATACATGGATAGGGTTGTTTTGGTGTAAAACCTGCCTCCTTTAGCCTGATCGTAAAGTGTGGCAGGTTTTTCTAATTATTTTTACTTGGTTTGGTGATATTTACTTGTGGTGAATATTGATCATAATTTTACATCAGTTTTGTGTTAGTTTCTGGACAAAAGCTGAAAGGAAAAAAACAAAAATAAAGGATGTAGTGGTTCTAAAAAGGAATACGTCTGTTATCAAAACTTTGAAATGCAGTTTTAATTGAACTATTGTGTAATTTTAGACACGCCCGTTTTTCACAGTATGGTTGCTAGGTAAAAGTTATGAAACTGGCTCTGTATCTGCTGTCCCTGTTCAGCCAGGAAATAAAATTTGAAATCTTCATAAATATAATTGCTAAGTTATATTTATAGGTTAAGTTATATTTAAGTATTAAGTATATAGTTAAGTATATTTATAGGTTTGATTTAGTGAGTCATTAACAAAATGCCTCCTGCTGCTAGAATAAAAAGTAGGCCTACATCTATAAACGATTCTGTACATCTGTAAATATTGTAATACTGAATAAAATGTGTGATGCGAGTAGAATTTAGAAAGAAAAAAATAAAGTTTCTCAAATAAAATTATGAAATGTGGGGAAATCTGACGACTGTGTTATACTCAAGAATTTTTGACTTGACTGAGTTTTACAGAGGAAAACCAAGTACCCCGCGTCGCCCAGAGCAGTGGCGCCATCTGCTGGAGAAGGAATACAAGAACAAGACCTGCAGATTCAAAATTTTCAAACACAGAACAAACAGAAATCCCCGGTTACAAAATACTACACCTACACCTACAAAATACCAGGTGTCCTTTTTTGATGACTATGACCAGATGTGTGATTTATTGGAATTTCAGATAAATTTAAATTGCCTTTGATTTCACTTTTTGTCTCAATCCTTTATTGAAAAGTTGAAAACAACAGAATGAAGGTTTTCTTTAACAAGTCCCACTTAATTGTTTTATGGGATAGGCTATTTAATTTTATTTCTTTTTTCTTTTTCCATAATAATAATCATAAACCTGTCACACCCCGGTCATCAGACCAAGACCCCGTTGTTATGGTAACCAGTACCGTCTTGTTTTCAGATTTTTCTATCATGTCATTTGTTAAAGGTGTTGATAATAATCTTTTTAGCTTTTTAATAGTCTTTTTTAACTGAGGTTCGTACTTTTGGCTCATAAGAGCTCAGTTATTGAATAAACGTCTGCGAGCCCGGGCTCCGAAAGACATGAGGCGGAGAAAGAAGCGAAACTTTCAGCCGAAGCACCGGAGTGGAGCTGCGAGACACAGGTACAAATACACGGTACAAACACGACCGGAGCACTTCCATCTATGGGAGATCTTATTACAGATCCATGCCTCCATAATGTTTATCAGATTATTCGACTCACACGCATCTGTACTCAGGTTAGTTTCGGTTCTCCACAAGTTTTATTACCAATGTTTTGTAGTTTCTTTTAGGGTAGAGCACAGGTGTCAAACATAAGGCCCGGGGGCCGGATCCGGCCCTCCAAGACCTTTAATGTGGCCCTCAGCTGATTTTCTACTAAAATATTTTAATCATATTTTCTATTAAAATCTTGTTAATTTTCTGCGGTGCTGAGCATAGCAGGGTCTCCAGCGTCTCTGTACGTGGCCCCTCCCACCAGAGCAGCACAAATGAAGACTTGTCTCTTTCCAAATGCTCTTAAAGGACGATCGTTTTGACTGTTGACCGTGACACCCTCATCAGCAAAATGTCAAAAATGAGAAAAGTGGAGCCGAGTGCAGGATTTTACAAGAAAAATTGACTTATTCCTATATGAATACAAGTTCATGTTAAAACATTGTGTAGAAATTGCATTTATCTTAAAGTTTCAGGTTTGTACATAATATTATATTATTTTGTAAAACAAACAGTTCATCAGTTAAAAAAGATTTCTGTAATAGATTTGGGTTTCTCTGCACAAATATTTGAACTTATTGCTGTTTTTTAAGTATGTATGACATGAGTTTTCTGATCCGGCCCCTTTGGGATCAAAGTAGGTTGGATTCGGCCCCTGGACCAAAATGAGTTTGACACCCCTGGGGTAGAGGATACAGCGTTTTCAGTCGGATGCTGCCTGGGCCTGTAGTTAGTGTTTAGATGAAGTGTCTCAGCTCGTCTGAACCTTCAGACCTGCTTTAACTTAGAACTCTTAATTCCAATTAATATCACTTACCCCCTTTAATACTGCCATAGACATGTGACTTGGGGTATTATCCCCTTTTCTTTATCTGCACCCTCTTAAAGGTGCATTGTGTAATAGTTTGGATGGGTGTTCGTCACTTTCTTCTTTCTATGGATATGTCATTGTTGTGGCTTGAATGTTCCAGAGTATAACATTAAACGACTCTACCTTACATTTATTCAACTACAGGTTATTTTATAGCTAAAAAATGCACAGAAAATGACTCTGAGCGATGTTGCCTCTCCACAGACCTGTCTTGGAACTTCGTCTGGTTTTGCCTCCATGAAGATAGAAAGGCTTAATGTAATAAAATCCCCGTGGTGAAAGCATTTGATGGACACTCCACCAGAAAAGTTACACAATGCACCTTTAAGTCCTTGTTTTACAGTAGTTAGTGCAGCAGTTGGTGCTGTCAAGTACTTGCCTTTAATTAATTAACCTCTGGCAAGGCTTCGTGTAGTTATGTTTGATTATTTCACAATCTGAAACAGAACTGAAACAAAATAACACATAACACCCCCATCTGTCACTTTTGGGTTAGCTATAACCCAAAATATATATTTATTTAATATTTATTTTATTATTGATTACTGATTGGCATAGTCACGTTTTATTGTATGTTGTTAATCAAAAACAGATGACTTGTAACCTCTTACAGCTAAAAAACTAAAGGTCTTAATGTTTTCACCTAATTTATGTGTGTGTCTTTTTGTTTGTTTGCTTTAATCTTTATAGGGTAGTCTAAACAATTGTGTGAAATTTAGGCTCATTGTTCAATAATTGCAGTGATCACTTTCAGAGGCTATTGTCAAGTCCTTTGTTGTGTTGGCCAGCAGAGGGCAGCAGGATACAGCTGTGAGCAGCTTGGGTTCGGCACCGACACAAGAGCACGAGGTGGAGCTGACCCCAGAGTTAAGTTCAAGGACAGTCAAGTGTTCAATAGTTGACCCCTAAGGCTTTGACTCTCTTCAAAATCCAGGACAGATATTTCATATGTTCATGCGGGTAATGCCCTTTTTTATGCCCTTTTTCTAGGGCTACCCATAATCACTATTCAACTCAAGGGCACATTATAAATCTTATTATTATATTATTTTTTATAAGGAATTTGTGATAAATAATTTGTTTAATTTAATTAATTTGATTGTTGGCTATATCGTTAAAAGCTTAAATAAAGTGTGGAGAGTGTTCGCACAGACAGTTGTCTATTTCCTTATCAGGGTTGTTAAAACAGAAATACATTGCAAAATATGATTACACTTTCGTGTAATTTTTACTTTGTTACATCCCTTGAAATTGTATCGGTTCCAGGAGCTAATTTAGCAGTCATTAGTTTCACTTGACTCACTGTTGTCCACAGTTCTTCACTATGAATGTTTGTTCGTGGGGTACAGTAGGCTACATGTCCAAAAATGCAACACCGAAATTCCAAAATGCAAATTCCTTTGCTTACTTGTTGTGAATTTTCAACGTTTTATTATGTCTCGTGTCACTGAGTTGGCATTTGGCACACTTGTGCCGTGCCACCTCACACCCAGTCTCTCTTTTGCGCAAATGTCTACGCACGCTCCCAGATAGTGAGAGACAAAGAAAACAGTAGCTAGTGCGTCTCTAGCGTAGGCCTATTTCAGTAGACAAATTAATTTCCATTCACATGATAAAACAAACGTAAGATATGTGTCTGCTTGCTCAAAACTGCCTATAGGTCCACACAGCGCAGGAAACGCGGTCTTCTGGGGCGCACAGGTGGGTGCGCTCTCCAAGGTGCCAAGAGATCCGTCTGCCAAAAAAAAAAAAAAAAAAAAAAAAAAAAAAAATCACCAACAAAAAAACTACTCTGCTCAAACATTTTGGACACAGGCGAGCTGTATTCCAGGCTTTCCCAACTGAGACATGTTTTCTGTGCGCCATCCATCGCTGTTTGATTTGTGTTGGAGGATGGATTTGTATTCACAGTAGTGTTGGGAAGAAGAGAGGAGGGACATGGGCGGGGCTGGGTATCCTCTCATTTTCCCTCCATGCATAACTGGGCAGCAGGGCTGGAGAGACCTCCGGGGAGCACAGTCGCCAGTCCAGCACGGAGACCTGCCTGGCCAAAAAGGCGCGCCTCACATTTGCCAGGATTGCCAAAAATTCACGAAAAATATACCTGCTATTTATGGCATGTGGCTTGTAACTTTACTCCTGTTGTACTCTCTCCAAGAAGGTAAGACGGCAGATTTATTTTCTTTTTGCACATACCAAAACTGTGCGCTGAAGGATGGAGTTGTAAATTGGCAATATTAACGTTAAAAAGTTGCTTTTAGAGAAACGACTCCAGATTTGATTGCGTGGGATGCTTGGGTTTTGCTCTGATACTGACATCATGCATGCAACACAGATTGTTGAAGAATGAGATAAATCTTAATTAATGAACAGCCCACTTAATAAATAGTGCTCTAAATACAAGCAGAAGAACTGCAAATACACCATTTTGTTTTTATTTTTGCATTAGCTACAGATTCCTCTCTTGAATGCTCTCATTGATGCTAGCACGGATTGTTTTCGCATTACCAACTCCATTTATGAATATGTAAAATGGCTGAATAGGGAAGAATAAGGTGCGAATCGAGCGAGACACAGAAAAATGAAAACATGTACCGGCTTTCCATGTATCTGTTCATTGCTCATTTCGGACGCTGCTTTGTCCAAAACATCACTTCTAGAAAGTTTGGCCAGATTTTAGTATTTTTAGCTCTGTCCTGTTCAAATTGTTGTTTAGTCTGGTTTTGGCACCATTTTACAGAAAAAAAAAATTGTTTGAGAAGATAGGACGTTCTAGGCTATAGCCTACCTTAGTGTGTTTATTTTAATGCAGTGATTGCTAGTGCAATTTAAACAAGTGGCAAATTATAGGCCTTTTGTCAACACCGGCCCTATTAGTCTAATGGGTTTACACTCCTAGTCTACATAAAAGGCCATAATAGTGCATTCACCCCATTCTTTCATTTGGTCTTCTTTATATTTCTGTATCATATAATTTCCTTTGGACATTTTAATGGCCTCATACATTTGTGTCCTGTGTAATTTGGTTGCGTTTGTAAAGAAAATGTCTGGCCTTTGGTGAAGTTGATCTTCTGCTATAGTGCATTATAATAATCCTGGACAAATCTGCGTTAAAAATAACAGATTCACCGCTATGAGGCTTAGAGCTGTTTCTGGGCCTGTGTTTATCTCGCCTGATTGAAGCCATGTTTGCCTATTAGCATAGACTCAGAAAAGGTCCTAAAATTATTTACAAAGTGTGCGTTAGAATACGGAATTTACTGCGTCCGGGGCTTTGATTAATCAAATATAGGCCATTATTGAGCCATTGTACCATTTGTATTGAATCCATTTCTAATAAAAAAATATCACTTTGGATGCAAACTGTCGTAGTCTAAATATTTTATTATGTTTGAACGGTGACAATAAAGTCTTTTGCTCCACGCGTAATGGCAGAGATTTAAATGATTCACGGCCGCTTCATGGTTACTTATTAATATGCAAACATTTATTAGACGGAATAAGGCTGTCCAGGGCGTGAGTGCAGACGAGAGACTTGCCCGGTCATGTTCCTCACTAATGTCGCACCTGGACCCCGCGTGGACGGACACGCGCAGGCCCTGAGAGGCGCGTGTGCGTCTGGCTCAGTTTGAATTTGTTGTGTTATTGAAATGACGGGGGACACATTATCAGTGTAAGTTCAAGCAGCGGTTTTATTTTATAGACAAGAATTTTTTTAGTTTACAATGTGATTCAAAGTAACACCCTTTCCTGCAAAGAAGGCTATCAAATCTATGTGAATTTTTTATTTTGGGAAGCCAGGATAACAGAATATAACCTGTATATATCTCTCTATATATATCTATATCTCTCTTTATATATATATTTTTTAAATCTTTCAGAGCTATATCATATGTAGGCTACATGTGAAATTTATAACTTAGACTGCACAAAAAATGAAAAAGGACTCAGCATCTCTGAGGCCTTCAAGGCCTTCACAGCAGTGGATCATTTTAATCACCGATATTGTGCAAAAAGAACATTTAAAAAAAGAAAGAAAACAGTAAGCCTCTGTCCCGGCACACTAAAGTGTGTTCTGTGTTCACACCCCTCCAAATAGAAATATGCAAGCCCCCCGCCCCCCACCCTCCTGTGCCCTGTGCAATTCCCTCAGCTGCTTTTGCAAGGCTGCACAATTATAAACACAACCTGAGCATAGGCACCTCAATGACAGACCTATGTCATTTAAAGAGCTGTCGTCAGACGCAGGGCACTGTTGCCTAAACTTTATTATAATACAATAAATTTTTTTTGGAGCCCAAAGAAACATCTTAGTATTTTTTCCACTTTTCATTTTAGGATTTCTCTATTAAACATCAAACTTTCAGTGCTTATTTATGGTTTATAATCACTTGTTCCAACATTAGGCGTTAATTTTTTCAACCACTATTTTGTAAATAATTGAGTGGTCTTATTTTATTTTTAATTTTATTATTTTGATTTAATTACACTTGAAACAATTTAATAATTAGTTTGATGACTTCACCAGCTTGGTGGTATAGTTATAGCTGGCTAACAGAGCGTACAGCATATTGCTTTGCTTATCAGTTGTCACAGTCATGTTCTTGCATTCATATCCATTCACATGTTACATCATTAAGCAATATAGCAAGCACATTCATACAACATTCATATTTAAAACTTGAACTGTAATTGAAACATTGCACACAGGCTTTAGTGAGTGAGTCCCTTTTTAACCAATGATAACTTGTTACTAAATTAAGCTCACAAATTTGATTGGGCACTAGAGACACACATTTTCCAAAATATAGCAATGCAGCAAATGTCAAAGCTAAAAGCAAGTAGTTGTTTTTGTTGAATCTTTCCATCTTTCCATCTTTCTCTCCATCTCTCTCTCCATCGCTCCCTCCCTCCACCGCTTCCTATCGTAGTTCCTCCCCTCCCTCTTACCCTCATCACTAGGCAGAATTAAAGGTTGGGGGAGGGGCAGTTTATGCAGACTGTGCTGGGACTTGTGATCCACAGATTTGATATTCACATTAAGATAGAAACTGGCTGCTTTGATGTGAGGGGGAGCAGGTCCCACGGGACTGCTGAAGTAGCACACTTTTTTTTACTGACACAGCACAGGCCAAGGGGGGGTCTCATGGTGGTAGGTGGGGTGGGGAGTGTATTGTTGGGGACAGGGTGTTCACTAAGACAGTGTAGGTGGGGGCACTACCTCTACCTCGTTGATTAGATCTAACCCCAACAACCTTAACCCTTCATCTTAAACCAACCATACCTACTTATGCTGTACCCCAGAGGATTATCTATAAGCTTACACCTATCTTTACTCTGAACACATCTCTCCAATATTCAATTCACACCCTTTACATAGTGTCTCCTCCCACTGCCTTGTCTATGTTACCACACAGTCACAGTGCCTCTGTGTCTCAGTAACACGACTCACAACTTTGGCCGCCTGTCACTAAACCTCGGAAGCGTGTGAAAAGGTGACAGGAGAGAAACTCAAGCTGGTTTGAATTGTTTCTGCAAAATAAAATAGAAGATTTTATAATCTATATATAAAAAATATTTCAGTCATGTGAGTGTTTACCAGTTACATTTAATGGCATGTAAAAGCATCACTCACAGGCACACTGGGAAGAGAAGTCAGAGATATTGGGAGGTTTGGGGTTTTAAGTCATGGTCCAACGAAGTGTTAGTATTAAAACTGTGCTAGTGTGAAACATTGGGGTTTGTTTACCTCCTCAGTACAATGCAGTCCTGCGCTCACTGCTGTGCCACACTCGCACAAACTGGAGAGGCGTAGATCAGCTGCATTATGCATGATGAAACCTTGCATTGCATAGGTTATGACTTGTGCTTCTCAGACATACATATTCATGCTTGGCACTCTGGCAGGATTTATAAAATAGTGGCTGCTCCTCTGACAGCCTGTGCTTTATTCCAGTGGTGCCATCAGTGCTCCTTCTCCGCTTCTGTCTGAATGAGGCTGATGAAGCCTCCTGGGCTCAGGTGAGCCACAGCAACAGAGGTTTGGTCAGTATGATGCTAAAACCTCCCCTGGTGACACTGTGGGCTACACTGTTACAGGTATGCATCACAGAGATGGCTGCACAGATAAGTGCTCAGCATGTCTCAGTATGAAGCAAATACATCGTCATTTCTCAAAAAGGTCAACTATAAAACATTTTTAACTGAACTCTTGGTATCCATACTATTATTAGAGTGTCTGTTGAAGTGTGGTATAGTTTGTGTTACTGACTCTGAGCTACTCAGTCATTAGGGTGCTATATAAATGAAACATTGGCACTATGTCAGCAGTTGTTTGTCTGCAGATATGTAGTGTATTTATGACACTGGTTTGTAAAGTGTCAGCTTGAAAGAGAATCCTGATTTTGAAAATAAATATTAGGCATTGTGCTATTAGGTGATTGTTTTAGACACTTAGATTTGGACACTTAGAGAAACTTTATTGATGTTCTGCAAGAAAAATTATTTGGACAGAGTAGCTTAAACATCACAATAAATATAATAGAGCCAAATAAAATGGTAATAATACATTCAAAAAGAGGATCTTAAATAGCAAGAAACTGGTGTCTTGGCTGAAGTTTTCACTTATGTTAATCTATTACCACATATAGCTGTAAAAAAATTTATAATATGCTTCTGGTGTATATCTTAGCTCTAACCAAAGTTAGGGCAGACCTTCTCTACCATAGATAATCTTTGATAATCAGGTTTGGACTATGTTCTGCTTAGGTCAATTGTTTTGGTACCTTTCTGAAATCTTGGTTTTATGAAGCTTTTTCTTTAAGATTAATTGCATGAAATTTCTATATTTAGACTGTTCTGTGGGTCACTGTTGTTGGGTTAAATTGTGGCAGTATTTTATGCAGTCACAGTTTTTGAGTGCCAGCACTGCCATGGCAACGCGCTCCTCTCCTCCCAGTGTGACGGAGCTCTGTTTGTGTGTGCGTCTGCTGAGTGCACGTGGCGCCTGCTTTTGACAGCCTCTGAGTGGCCGGAGTTTGCTCTGATCCCCTTTCTATTCCACTTTCCTCTCCATCAGTTCCTGTGCTCCCCAGCCCCCCAGTGCCCAAAGCCCCCAGGGCACATAATCTACTGTGTGTGCGAGGAGGGTCCGATGCCCACTCCCCCCATTCAAAGCTTTCAGGGTGACCCCCTCACTTCTCCACTTTACTCCTGTCCCCCATTGGGAGATTATAGATATTGCAATCTTTAATATGGGCTTTATGCTCAGGGGCCATTATCAGTAATCTGCAGAGGGGAGGGAGTCTGACCTGGTTTCTGCCACACCAACAGTGGACAACCAGACACATTCATATACCATCTGTACCATGCTGCCAGTTTTATCAATCTCACTGTGGACAATACTTCTTTCATAAGATACTGCAATTACTGATTTACCTCCTGGATCCTACAAAAACTGCATCTTTCTTCAATCTGCTGCCTAGAGTTTAGTGCCAGCATGCTGCTACTGTTGATGGCAATGAGTGATTCTGCCAGGCTTTATTTGTTAGTGTTTCTCTGTCAACATCACCCATAGATTAATGTCTCATTACATTAAACTGACATCAAGACCATTCTGCAACAGACATTTACAGAGCATGAAATGACAAAATAATTTTTTTTTTGTAAACATTTATGATGTTTCCTGATGACTAAATTATGTAGCAGTAGAAAGTGGGCAATACAGACTTTATTGTAAAATGTTTTTGTTTACTTTTAGGATGCTTAATCTATGTGCCTATGATCAATACAATCAAGGTTTTGTAACATGAAGTACAACAGTCTAACTCACTGATTGTTTTATTTCATCAGAAAGAATTACCCACAAAGAATACAACAATCTGCAATTATGACATAAGATTTTTTATGCATCTGTTGTTAAATAATAAAAAAAAGAACTTATAACTTAGTTCCAGGTAACTGTCCAGAGACATGTGAATGTAATGGACTGATGTCTTTCTCACATCTGTCAGGCAGTGTGCCCTTCCCCCACATTATCATCTTACTATCATACCCCAAATATTAAAGCCTGGGTCCCCCTCTGCCTCACCACTGTGTTTAATCTGAATCTGAATGGAGAGTGTTTCTGCCTGTTTCCACGTTTTCCTGTATGCTCTGTGCAGTGATGTGTGTGTTAAATATGTAAGGAGATTAAATCGACTTAAATCTGTGCGTCTGGCATAGAAATTCCAATCACATAACCTATCAGGCTGCCCCCCTCTCTGGTACTCTCTTTGTTGTGTATATGTGCCCACTGTACAAGGTAAGAGACTCCGCCCCTCCCACTCCACCTAAACCACCACAGGCTTTAGCCCAAATCCCTGGCTTTCTACATCACATGACTGATGTTTGCAGCTGGACATTTGACATACATTTGTTATGATTATTCCGCCACCTATTTGAAAGACATAGTCTATCTATTATGCGTCAGTCAGTGTGTGATGGGTCTTCTCTAATTACATCACATGAAAACTCATTGCACTCATGATTTTTAAAGAATTTAATATAAAGTTGTTTGGGTTTTTGCATTAAAATGTGGAACTGGAATCAGGAGGATATCTGTGATTAAAAAGTCATTATCACTGATTATTTGAATTGTTGTGCAGATTACTGCAATAAAATAAGAAAAATAAAAACAGTGGGATCTTGCTTGGTTCAAGTACTCATTTAGTTTTTAGTCGATGTCCCATTAATATGACTGTTCTTGTGCGTTTCCTCCACAGTACACAGTGAGGATGTGGGCTCCACCAGGCTGTACTTTGTGAATGCCTCCCTGCAGAAGGTAACCTATTCCAGCTCGGTGGGGGTGTCCCTGCCCTGTCCAGCAGGGGGCACCCCTAGTGCCATTCTGCGCTGGTACCTGGCGACCGGCGACGACATCTATGATGTCCCCCACATCCGCCATGTGCACGCCAATGGGACGCTCCAGCTGTACCCCTTCTCCCCGTCCGCGTACAACAGCTACATCCATGACAACGACTACTTCTGCACTGCGGAGAACCAAGCGGGCAAGATCCGCAGCCCCAACATCCGCATCAAAGCTGGTGGGTCCTGTTATGGTTTTGTGCTCCATTATTCACTGACAGTGTTCTCACTGCTTTGTTATGGTTATTTTCTGTTGTACCTGCTGCCACCACCATAACATACTGCCCAATTGTTCAGCGAGCGTTATGTCATTCATTCCGGTTAAGAGCTTTTTCCAGCCAGTATGTTTCTGATGAGTATTACTGTTATCAGTGTGAATAGATATGTTATTTTGATAGAGACTAGAGATTTTGACTTGAAGTTTCATTTGGGACTGTTCAAAACGATTTCTGCATTTATGGTGAGAGAGAATTTTGAGTGAAGAAGAAGTGGAGCAGATGTAGTTGACAGACACCAAAAGAGCCGACAGAGAGAATCTCCCACCTGCCCTGAAACAGCCCGTCTGGCCCCAAATGCATTGACCTAGAACACAGTCTGCATAGACAGCATCACTAGCATCACGTCCTAGCGGCTTATTGCCCAAATTGCACCTCTGCTGGACCAAGCCATTGCACTTTAACTCATCTAACCTCTGAAAGCACTGTCTGCTCTCTGAACTCTGGCATAACTGAGCTCTTTCTTTTTGAACATATTGTATGATTGTTTAAAAGATGTGACAAACTTTTATATTTCTCCATCTTATAAGACACAATAATAATTTTGAATGTTTTAAATATTTGTGCTTGCTAAAGAAATATTGGATTACATTACTGTGGTACAAGTTTGTCAGAAACTATTGTTACATATTCTTCTCTGTCCTCATTAGTTTGTTCTCCTTCTGTGCTCCCTCAGTCTCCACAGTCCTCTTGTGCCAGTCTATATATAGCCCCAGCGCACTACTTTAATTATCTCTCATTAACAGACCTAATTGGTGCTTTCCATTGATTAGACTGTGAAACTGTTCCAAGCGAGACCCCATCTTATGTAAAATGGAGTATCAGGGGCTTTGGGTTCCCTTGGATGCAAGTTGCAAACATTTGGCATAAAGCTGAGCACAGCTAGTTTAGATAGACTAGTGTGTATCATCTTTCAGTCAACCTAATAAGCCATCCCTCTCCTCTCCAGCTGTCAACATCTGTTTCATATTCATTCCAATGCAAGCCTGATCTAATACTACATATAATACTTATACTAGTGCCGTATTGAGGATTGGGGCCTGGTTACTGTCTTCCTGCTCACATGACTCAAAAGCCTGCCCTCAGAAGACCAGGGATTACCCATCAGGCATTGTGCCGACAGTGGCCGGGGTCACACAGGAAGTGGATTTATTTTGAAAAGTTTTTTTATGACTCATGTTTACTGATTATTGTAATTTTTTTTTTTTTACTCAGCTGTCTATGGTTCAGGGAGAAAAATAAGTTGACAGTTATTCCTAATATTACTATGATTAATGATTTAAGTTTTGTTTGTGGTTTTAAATATAATTTCATCTAACTGTGTATGTTTGGAAATCATCCAATACATACAGTACATTTACATATTCTGTATCAACCAGTGGCACAGTGTATGACATTCAGATAATCCATTTGTAACATTTCAGCAGTTTGTTTTCCATTTATTTCAACAACATAATTTTCTTCATGTTCTACAACATGAATTTATGCATGTAGTAATCTTGTTTCCAAGGAAGAAATTCAAAACCAGTTTCTTAGCAACCTTCAAAATCTTTCTTTCTTTCATGAGATTTTGCTAACAAGGGTCTGCCCATTCAGCAAGAGTGTAAAATAATGCATGAACCTGCATAAAACAACTATATACTAACTAACTATATCTATATCTGGCCCACACTTTCCTGTTGTGCTTCACTGAAGTTCAACCAACCACTATCATTCTGATCACATCAAATCTATAAACCTGTACTTCCCTTTTCATGGTATTTATCAGTCATGGATGCCATTTGTAATACTTTTGACCATTCAATAGATAGAATATTTAGTTCTTAATTGTCTCTATGACACTTACTTTAAATTATGTTTTTATTCTACTAATATTCTGACACCTTTACTTTGACTTGAGTAATATTTAATTTGAAGTAACTAAACTCTTAAATAAGTAAAAGTTTAGTTACTGGGAGTTATTGGAAAAAATGTTATATTGACAGTATAATAAGATTTGAAAACTAGCCCTTGGGTATGATTTGTTTTTGTAATGTATGTGTGTCTTTTTTTTTTAAATACCAGAATGTATGCATTATTTAATGTCTTATTGGTTTGTCAGATTAAATTAACGCCTAAATCATTAATCAGACACATTTTATGTCCAATTACTCAGCACTAAAATAATGTTTTTTCCAAATACTTTTTTACATTTACTTGATTAATTTAATGCGCCACTACCTTTTAATAATGCCACTCAAGTATTCATGTATTAAAGTAACGGTACTCCTACTTGGCTAGTGGCTACACTACCCACTTCTGATCATGGCAGATTTGTATTGTTGGAGATATTGATTATTGACAAAACCTTAACATTTGTAAAACATTAAAAATCCATTCTTACATTCATATTCACTGTTGTGTGTTTCTGTGTAGTTTTCAGGGAGCCCTACACTGTCCGCGTGGCAGACCAGCGCTCGATGCGGGGAAACGTAGCAGTGTTCAAGTGCCTGATCCCCGCCGCGGTGCAGGAGTACGTCAGCGTGGTGTCCTGGGAGAGAGACACTGTGTCCATTGTCCCAGGTAGGCCCTGGCCAATATCAAATACTTGTATTCAAATAAAAGTACAGTTACAGGCTAATCATATTGTGAATTATCAGTACTGCTGCTAAAATTGTGCTGAAGTAGAGTTAGGAGATGTATGAATAGTATTAAACTGTTGTCTTGGGGTTATGCAAACTTAGAAAATAGATGTGTATTATTTAAACTATTAAAATTACCTCAAAAACATCTAGGTACCCAGTTATCCAGCCTTTGCTCACATGCTACACAGCTAACAACACTAAAACTAAAACTTGGAGAAATAACTTAGAGATGCTAAAGAAGATGCAGCACAGGTTTGCCCCTATGAATGAATGAATATGTGTAAAATCTGAGGCAGAGGAAAAACAGATGATCTTGTTTATTGGATGCTTTCAGATTTTCATTACAACTATGGGAGCAAAAACTGCGTGATAATATAGTATGTTACAGAGACAGGTTAGCTGCAGTAAAGTGTGCACCTATAGGGCATTTGATATTGATTTTAAATGTTTTACAATGACCAACAAGGACAGATAAGATAATATGTAACTTGTGTTCAAAGCAGCAGTAATAAAGTATAAACTATTTACCTCTCACACTTTGGCCCTGACTCCCACAAGTCTTCCATTGAACTGGAACACTCCACATCAGTTTTCCATCAAATTGTGTTTTCATGCATTTGTCCCATGTCCTAGAGCGTAGAGACTGAAGACTCAAAGTTCCATGTATAGGGAACCTGGATAAATCTGCACTGCTCCAGTGCCACAAGCGCTCGTGTTTTCAGGCGTGTACCGCAATCCGTCATCACGTGTCCAAAGCAAAAATGATAACACTGGTTTACCTGCTGTTAAAAGTGTTCAGGGGTCCTGTCAGCTGCTCCTTGATCTAATGTAAAAATGTTTGGAAATAGGGGCAAATGTTAATTTGCACAGCACTTCAACAATTCAAGATCCGAATACCCTCATTTGTATATCAGTTTTGTGCACTACCCATTGGTAAATCATGTTTAACATGCCCAAAAATTGCACAAGTTATTTTTCTGTTTAGTTTATACTTGCAGTTTAGCACCTGAAATGATAACTGAGGCCCCTAGTGTAATCTTCTAAACAAAGGTATGAAGTGATATTTCTGCTTTTATGGGCCATTCATATTTTGCGCAATACTTCAACTCAACCAAGACTGGCACATTTTAACACATTCTGACACATTGTGAAAATACCGTTGGATTATTGTTACCGAAATAAGGCATGAAAAATTAAGATATCCTTTTTGTACTTTTACTGCCGACCCAATACTTAAAAAAAAAAAAAAAAAAAAAAGCAATAAAGAACACATGTGCAATACTACTCAAAGTACCAATTAGTTACTTTTTTAAGCAAAGTTGGTTAGTCCAACAATCCAACAATGTAACACTGTATTTTGTTGTTTCAAACCACAGTCCACCATATTCCCATTACTATGGCCAATCAGCGCAGGCAGTGCTGTGCTGTTATGTGTGTTTGATGGTATAGAAAGGAGCAGAAACAGCCGTGAGACAGCCATAGTGATTTTATATTAGTATTAGATAATTAGTACATATTATTACAGTTTCATACTAAAAATACTCGATTACAAGGACAGGTATAAAAATCAACTTAAAAACACAATTACCTAAAAGATCTACTCAATTACAGTAACATGAGTATTTGTGATCAGTTACTTTCTCACCCATGATTGGCTGCAAAGAGGGTCTGGGGACAGAACTCATTGGATTTTGATTTGTCTTTGTTTGTATGTGAATGTTCTTTGCGGATGCTTTAAATGCCCCCCTGAGTGTGATATGTTCAGCTGGACTCTGAACTCGTGTCTCCTGTCTGCTCACTGTTCTGGATCACTGAACTAGTCCCCTCCTCCCCCTCTTTCTCTCTCTTTACCCCTCTTCTTCCTCTCCTCTTTCTCCACTTCTCGCTCAATGAAAGGAAGTCATCTGGACTAGCTTTTGGGTTTAAGACCTTTCACCAGCTAAATTAAACTGCTATGAAAGCAGAAATTAAGAACAGAACTTTGGAATTGAAAAAGAAAAGGTTGTATAATGTTTTATTGTTCTGGCAGTGTGATTATTTTATTATATTTTATATGGATGATTGCTACTGTTTTAATTGCATTTTGTGTATTCATTGGAGCTGCACCAAAGTCTGTCCTTTGATAATCAATAACATATTCTTGATTGTAATTTTGATACTTGTTGAGAGATAAAACATCTTCAACTTCAACACCTGGTCAAGATTACTTTTTTGAAGCAGTTATTACTATTGCACAATCCTGGGTTACATTTCTTTGATCCTGTATCTGAGAATGATTCTCTGACCATCTCAGTTTGATACCCTCTATGACACTAGAGATCTAAATCAACTCTACTCTGGTGCTTTGACTCTTTACGTTGTGTCCTTGAAGAAGAGCTCCATTCAGAGACACAGGATGTCAATAGTGTTGTGGCCCCCCATTCGTCTTCATTAACCTCATTTGTATGTGTGTGTTAGTGCGTGTGAAAGCAACACAACCATGTCTGCTCTTTGCCTATCCTCACTCAAAGTGGTTTGAAAATACATGTTATTATGGGCAGAATTACTGTATTTATTTTGTCAGTTGCACTTGCCCAGTTCTATGAGCTTAATTTTATTATTACATTACATTTTAACTGCTTGCTCCCACAATGAAGCATAGATGGATGGGGGATAGAGGAGAGGATGAAGCAAGGAGGGTAGTAGGACAAGAACGGCCTCGGGTCTTGGCAGATGGCGTTTTTTTTTTTTTTTTTTTTTAAATACAAAACACACTGACACTGTCTCTCTTTCACACACACACACATGCACACACATACATATACCTACACACACACAGACACACACACACACACACACTAAAGCTTATGGTTGGTGTTTAGGTTATTCATTTGTCACATAATGAATTGTTTTGCTTTATGATTTTCTGTTTCTCTTCTAAGCAGTAATAGAGCATTACCATTTGAGAGAAGACTGAAATATTGTTTTTGTTCAACTGAAAAGGAAACTTAAACAAAGCATTTAATTTATGTCCCAATGGAAGACAGGGGTGGGAATAAACATTTTCTTACTGTATCTTGCTTTATCCCTAGTACATATCAGTGATGTACAGTTGACTTCTGTTTGTTGAGGTTAGCTGGGGTTCATGGCAGAAGACTCTGATAGAGGTTTTGGTGATGCTCTCCTCTTCTTGTCGGTACATAGTCTTGCGCTGCTGTGCTGTGCTGCTATGTGTAATTAGGGGTATATAGGTCAGTTGATGAGCAGTGAGTGTGAGAATCAGATGTTGAATATGACTTCACAGCACACAAACAAACAGTGGATTCAACCTTGACCATAACCTTCCTGCCAATCAAAATGAGACGTCACCATCATGTATGGCCACGAATAAGTGCAATGACGGCAAGTGCTTCCCAGTTCTTTGGCTTTCAGATAGTTTGTTGTTTACAATTTAAACATTTCTTAAACATCTTTTTTGAGAATTCACCCAGTTTGTGCTTTTGTAACTGGGAACAAATTTAAGTCCAAATAATAACAATAATCAAAACATTAACATTAGAAATAAGTAATAATTTTATGATGGAAAGTTCTTCATTTTTATTTTTATTAATTTATTTGACAAAAAATATCTCCTGTGTGCCATCTGCTTCTCCTCATAATTTATTACTTTAATTGTATTGTCCTAGAGTCCTGGTTGCTTGTTGGGTGAGCTCTGATTCATTGCTAGATCAGGCGAGCTTGCTGCCTAGTGAGACTTTCAGAAAGGTTATGGGAAGGAAATTGTTCAATTTAGGTAATATTTTCAAGAAAAATACCTTTAATATTAGTTGAAACCGCATGCATACAGTTTTGTTGGTTGCATAGTAACAGTTAAATGCAGTAACGTCATGTCAGATTGTAGTTATGTAATATGTTTATCCAAAATGATGACCTTTATCACTGATTGTAACTGATAACATTAACTCAACAACCATCTCTCTTCCTCTCCTCCTCCTCTTCCTCCCTGCTGCGCGAGTGAAAGGCCTAATGAAGATGTGAAAATTAAAATTGATTTTGTGATTGAGAGCTCACTGAGTCATTGACTGTTTTTGTCACTTGTCTCGCCTGTTGCTTATGCTTGGCTAAAACCACAGCGAAAGCTGAGAGAATTGTGCAGCTTTATTTGGGTTTTGGCAAAACTACATTTGTATTTTTTTCTGAATGCTTTTAATCCCAGCATGCATCGGACACAAGATAGGGCTTCTTTACTTGTCTCAAGATGAAACTGTGGACCAAAATAGAAACACCATTACATTTACTCATCTGACTTGTATGTCTTTTATTTAGTTCAGTCCCCATTAGCTGTCTCCGTGGTAACAAATACTCTGCCTCTCACATTGATGAAGATTAATTGCACTAGACTAGATCACGTTAAAGCAGATTTCTCTTACAGGCCAAATGATTTGACCATACAACAAGATTATTTATATGGAAGTCAATACACCTTTAAACACATCCTTTCTCAAAATTTGTATTGTGTGCTCCTTAATTGCACTTTCTATATTTTATCTATTTAATCTTTTTATCTGTTACTGATTCTGCTTATATACCTACTTATGTAAGCCCTGTAGTTCTTCTATTTGTATTTCCCTTGGGTATGTTGATATTCCTAGAGAATTGTTCCTGATCAGTAGGAGGATCACATAGTGAACTGCAGACTGGGTCGATGACATAACACAATGGCGCCACGGCCTCTGGACCTCAGCAGGTCCCATTTTGTCAGAGACACACGTTCCCCATCTGGAGCTGTGCAGTCTGTGCATGTGTCCCATGGCCTGTCCCACTTTGGTGTCCAGTAAGGACAGTAGAGATTTTAGAGGGGAGGGGTGCAGCAGACTGACCTATTTCACTTCCCTGTCCTGCACCAACCCTGGGTTAAGCCTTTTTTGTGCTGTGTACCTTATGAGGCGCTCAATGAAA